ATTTCAACAACAACCACTTTAACTGGTTAGTATAACATAATAATAATATAGAAATGTATACACAAATGTCTACTAAATTAGATCTAATACTTTTCATTCCATATTTGTTATAGTTTCAGTTATTGACAGTTCATCTGATGCTATCACGAGTAGCAGCAATGACAGATTCACTTCAATGTCAATATCTCTGATGATCATTGATAATACATTAGTATCAGAAACTTCAAGCAGCATAGAACCATCAACAATATCAAGTTTGTACTAAATACATTTTATATTATAATACTGAAATCTGTTCAGTGCAATACTTTCTTACTAACTGACATTTTATTGCAATTTGTAAGCACTTGAAAATCATCCAAAATTTTTAATCAATACGTTGCTATTGCCTAGGATTGGCTGATAAATGGCTCCAAAAATTAACCTATATTTTTTCTGATGCTTGATGTCCTTATACTGTGTAGAAACTGGGCTATAGCCCAAGGTTTTTTCAAAAAATGGCTTTTTTCAAAAGTTTGAGCTGATTCAGAATTTTTCAAGTTACAGCCAGTTAAAAAAATAGGCCAAAATCTGAAAAATACCCAAGGCTATAGCCCATGGTTTTTTCAGAAAAATGGCTCTAAAATCAACCCAAAATTTTTATTACATTTTCTGATACATATTGATGTCCTTATGCTGTGTAGAAAGTTTGAGCTGATTCCGATATCAATTTTTCAAGTTACAGCCATTTTATAAAATAGCCCAAAATCTGAAAAATTGCCAAGGCTATTGTAGCCCATGGTTTTTTAGAAAAATGGCTCCAAAATCACCCCAAATTTTTATTACATTTTCTGATACATATTGATGTCCTTATGCTGTGCGGAGAGTTTGAGCTGATTCCGACTTAAACTTTTCAAGTTACAACCATTTTAAGAAAGCACCAATTTCTAAAAATATCCATACTATAGCCCATGTCCTTTTAATCCCAAAATGGTTTAATTTTTTGACATTATCTGACTATATAGTAAACTGCTAAATCATGTTTAGAAATTTGTGACAAAGTTAAGGATGTGGTACTAAATTTCAACTAAGTAGCCAATTTACACTTTTCAATTATTATTACATTTATTAGGCTCTACTTCAGCCACATCACAATCAACATGTACAGGATCCATCATCAGTTCTGGTTAGTTAATACATTAATGTATGTACATATCTAATGTATCTATTATACACACACATTCAGTTGCTATTGCAGTACCTATCACTGGTCTATTAACTGGACTCATTACATCAATAGTTACTAGTATCATTGTATACTGTATAATGAAGAATAAAGGGAATACACTAAGAGAAAGATCACCAGTAGACATTGGACCAATATATGATTCACCAACTATCAGCATTGAACAACAAGAACAAGTCATTGATACTACACCTAACACTGCTTATGGACAAATTTATTGATACAGTTATAATTTCGTCTTGGCAGAGATACATGTATAGAAAATAATAGTATAGCAGCACAACGTGTCTTGGCATGGCAACTTTTAAAGTCACTATTTTACTATTGGCCAGAACAATAAGTATATTATAAATTACAGGTGAATGATGATAGACAATGTCCTGTTTATTCCACAGTCAATAAAAATCAAGTGCCAGTAAGTGAAAATGTTTGAAGTATGCATAAGAGCTTTGGGAAATCAAAAGTTTATAGCTTAAACTATAGCTCATAATAGCTTAACTAGACTCTATAGCCCACAGTAAAAACAATTAATGTATTATAAGCTCTTGTATAATTTAATTTGGGAATAATATCAGGAGTACATAATACCTATACTGTTGTTATTATTGTATCAATCAGTTCACACTATACAAACACATCAGTGGTGATTGTGTTAACTGAACTATTCCAGCAACTGTATAGTTATTATGTAAATTCTAGGAATAGTTAGTGTATTAACTGAGTTCTTGGAGAGGTGGGATGAGCTCAGGCTGGACTGTTAGGATTATTCATGATTAGGGAAACTTTAGCATAAGATATTCAAGAAAGGAATAACTATGGGTGTGTCACTGCTCACTATAGTGCTGTTGACATTTGAAGATGATAATCATATTCTTTATTCTGTTGTCAAGCAGTGTATATGGTAAGCAGTTTCATTATAATTTATCACTTATTATCATTGACTGTTATTAGCATCATTAGGTACAGTGCTATCATTCAGCCAGTCCTCTCCATCATATGATATTGTATGCCCTGGAGATACACTAGTATTCACTTGTATTACTAGCTATGAAGAAGGGCTATTTGTCATATGGAGAATCAACTATTCAACTCGTGCCCTAACCAATTATTCTAAAACTACAGTGACTAATGGATTTTTATTATCAATTAGTAATATTACTAATAATACACTAACAAGTACTGCTAGTGTGAATGTGTCTGCTTCATTACATCTTAATGGAACTGTTGTTGGCTGCTCTGGAGATGGAGTTCATTACAGCACATTAACAGTACATATTGCAGGTAAGATACATCATGCACCATATGTATGATAATACTGTATCTATGTATAGGTGTACCAGTATCAGTTATTAATATAAAGATAATACCAATTAATAACAATACAGTATTGATGAACTGGTACTATGAAAAGAATGATGAAGTTCACTGTATTCAATATTATAATATTACAATAATCAGTGATTATATAAAAAATAATAGAAGCAACAGATTAATATATATTATGACTATGTACAATGAATCATCAGCAACTATTCCTTCCCTTATTGCTGGTACTAATTATTCATTTATTATTATTCCTATTGATACTATTGGAAGAGAAGGACCTCCTTCATCATTAATACAGTATATATGGAATGGTAAGTACTATACACACACACACACACTCATTGTATTTCTTATAGTACCAGCTCAAGTTGTTAATATTATTTGGGATCAGATATCAACTGATAGTATTACAATATGGTGGAATATCAATGAAGTATGTTAAGATATTAATCAACTATATATCATTATTATTATTAATAGGATACTACATCACATTATCCTCCAGTACATTACATTGTTAGTGTACACAATATTACTATTAATACAACTGATACTAATGTAACTATTAATGGACTATATCCCAATAATGAATATACTGTATACATAAAACCAGCTAATGCTATTGGAGAGGGACCACTGATTAACATTACAGGTTTGTTTATTATAAACTGATGAGTATATTTAGTGTAATGTGTTCAACCTTTATAGTCAACATAACTGATCAACAGTCGATTTCAACAACAACCACATCAATTGGTTAGTATAACATAATAATTATCATAAAAACGTATATATAAATGTCTACTAGATTAGATCTAATGCTTTCCATTCCATATTTGTTATAGTTTCAGTTACTGAAAGTTATCTGATGCTATCACCAGTAGCAGTAATGACAGATCCACTTCAATGTCAATATCTCTAATGATCATTGATAATACATTAGTATCAGAAACTTCAAGCAGCATAGAACCATCAACAATATCAAGTTTGTGCTAATACATTTTATATTATAATACTGAAATCTGTTCAGTGCAGTGCTTTCTTACTAACTGACATTTTATTGCAATTTGTAAGCACCTGAAAATCATCCAAAATTTTTAATCAATAAGTTGCTATTGCCTAGGATTTGTTGATAAATGGCTCCAAAAATTATCTATATTTTTTCTGATGCTTGATGTCCTTATGCTGTGTAGAAACTGGGCTATAGCCCAAGGTTTTTTTGAAAAAATGGATTTTTTCAAAAGTTTGAGCTGATTCCGATATCAATTTTTCAAGTTACAGCCATTTAAAAAAATAGGCCAAAATCTGAAAAATACCCAAGGCTATAGCCCATGGTTTTTTCAGAAAATGGCTTCAAAATCACACCAAATTTTCATTACATATTCTGATACATATTGATGTCCTTATGCTGCGTGGAGTGTTTGAGCTGATTCCGACTTCAATTTTTCAAGTTACAACCATTTTTAAGAAAGTGCCAATTTCTAAAAATACCCATACTATAGCCCATGTCCTTTCAATCCCAAAATGGTTTAATTTTTTGACATTATCTGACTATATAGTCAACTGCTAAATCATGTTTACAAATTAGTGAAAAAGTTAAGCATGTGGTACTAAATTTCAACTAAGTAGTCAATTTACACTTTTTAAATATTATTACATTTATTAGGCTCTACTTCTGTCACATCACAATCAACATGTACAGGATCCATCATCAGTTCTGGTTAGTTAATACATTAATGTATGTACATATCTAATGTATCTATTATACACACACATTCAGTTGCTATTGCAGTACCTATCACTGGTCTATTAACTGGACTCATTACATCAATAATTACTAGTATCATTGTATACTGTATAATAAAAGAAATACACTAAGAGAACGATCACCAGTAGATATTGGACCAATATATGATTTACCAACTATCAACAATGAACAACAAGAACAAGTCATTGATACTACACCTAACACTGCTTATGGACAAATTCAATAATACATTTATAATTTTTATCTTGACAGACATGTACATGTATAGAAAATAATCTTATATTGTAGCATGACGTATCTTGGCACAGCAACTTTTAAACTTACTACTTTACAATTGGCAAGATAAATCAATAAACAATAAGTATGCTATAAATTACAGACAAATAATGACAGACAATGTCCTGTTTATTCCACAGTCAATGAAAATCAAGTGCCAGTAACTGAAAATGTTAGAAGTATGCATAAGAGCTTTGGGAAATCAAAAGTTTATAATTCAACTGTAGCTCACTTTAACTATAGTCCACAGTAATAATATTATAAAACAATTAATGTATTATATGCTCTTGTATAATTTAATTTGGGAATAATTTCATTGTTTTCACAAGAAAGTGTTCAAAAGCATTGATGTACAAAATAATGCATAAGTTGGGAATCACGATTAGACAATAATGAAACTGTCAATATAACAGTAAGTATATCATAATGTAAATGTACATATCCTCATGATGGTTTAATGTATGTCTCTTTCTTTCCATAATTGAAATTTCTTGATGGTCTAGGTTACATTTGCTCTGACATAAACTTCTTCATAATCCTGCATTTTAACTTGTTTTTAGACTCATTCTATAGTATGTGTGCATCTGTGTTCATTACTATTGAACTATTTTATTCTTTGCAATATCACTATTATCAAGAGTACATAACACAATCAGTCCACACTATACAAACACATCAGTGGTAATTGTGTTAACTGAACTATTCCAGGAACTGTAGTTATTATCTAAATTCCAGGAATAGTTAGTGTATCAATTCAGTTCTTGGAGAGGTGGGATGGACTTTATGATCAGGGAGAACTTTAGCTAAGGTATGCAAGAAAGGAATAACTATGGGTGTGTCACAGCTCACTATAGTGCTGTTGACATTTGAAGATGATAATCATATTCTTTATTCTGTTGTCAAGCAGTGTCTATGGTAAGCAAATTTATTATATTAATCAATTTGTTATCAATCATATTTAATAGTATCATCATGTGGAACAGTGTTATCATTCAGCCAGTCCTCTCCATCATATGATATTGTATGTCCTGGAGATACACTAGTATTCACTTGTATTACTAGCTATCAAGGGGGAGGTGGTGTTGCATGGAAAGTCAATGGCTCAAGTCGTGCCCTAAGCAATGATGATAAAACTGAGTGGATTAATGAATTTTTATTATCAATTACAGATATTACTAATAATACAATAACAAGTACTGCTAGTGTGAATGTATCTATTTCATCACAACTTAATGGAACTGCCATTAAATGCTCTGGAGATGGAGTTAGTTACAGTAACACATTGACAGTACATATTGCAGGTAAGATACATCATGAACCATTATGTATCATAATACTGTATCTATGTATAGGTGTACCAGTATCAGTTATTAATATAAAGATAATACCAATTAATAACAATACAGTATTGATGAACTGGTACTATGAAAAGAATGATGAAGTTCACTGTATTCAATATTATAATATTACAATAATCAGTGATGATAATATTAATGGACATATGATCAATAATGAATCATCAACAACTATTCCTTCTCTTATTATTGGTACTAATTATTCATTTATTATTATTCCTATTGATACTATTGGAAGAGAAGGACCTCCTTCATCATTAATACAGTATATATGGAATGGTAAGTACTATACACACACACACACTCAATGTATTTCTTATAGTACCAGCTCAAGTTGTTAATATTAGTTGGGATCAGATATCAACTGATAGTATTACAATATGGTGGAATAACAATGGAGTATGTCAAGATAATTATTAACTATAAATTATTATTATTATTATTAATAGGATGTTACATTACATTACCCTCCAGTACATTACATTGTTAGTGTACACAATATTACTATTAATACAACTGATACTAATGTAACTATTAATGAACTATATCCCAATAATGAATATACTGTATACATAAAACCAGTTAATGCTATTGGAGAGGGACCACTGATTAACTTTACAGGTTTTGTTTATTATAAACTGATGAGTATATTTAGTAATGTGTTCAACCTTTAGTCAACATAACTGATCAACACTCCATTGCAACAACAACCACTTTAACTGGTCAGTATAACATACATATGTCTACTAGATTATATCTAATGCTTTCCATTCCATATTTTTTATAGTTTCAGTTACTGAAAGTTTATCTGATGCTATCACCAGTAGTAGCAATGACAGATCCACTTCAATGTCAATATCTCTGATGATCATTGATAATACATTAGTATCAGAAACTTCAAGCAGCATAGAACCATCAACAATATCAAGTTTGTGCTAAATACATTTTATATTATAATAAATCTGTTCAGTGCAATACTTTCTCACTAAATAACATTTAAGCACCTGAAAATCATCCAAAATTTTTAATCACTAAGTTGCTATTTTTATAAATGGCTCCAAAAATTACCTTTATTTTTCTGATGCTTGATGTCCTTATACTGTATAGAAACTGGGCTATAGCCCAAGGTTTTTTCAAAAAATGGCTTTTTTCAAAAGTTTGAGCTGATTCCAATATCAATTTTACAAGTTATGGCCATTTTAAAAAATAGCCCAAAATCTGAGAAATACCCAAGGCTATAGCCCATTGTTTTTTCAGAATAATGGCTCCGAAATCACCCCAAATTTTTATTACATTTTCTGATACATATTGATGTCCTAATGCTATGTAGAAAGTTTAAGCTGATTCCGATATCAAAATTTTTCAAGTTACCACCATTTAAAAAAGCCCAAAATCTAAAAAATACCCAAGGCTATATAGCCTATGATTTTTTTAGAAAAATGGCTCTGAAATCACCCCAAATTTTTATTACATTTTCTGATACATATTGATGTCCTTATGCTGCGTGAAGAGTTTGAGCTGATTCTGACTTTAATTTTTCAAGTTACAACCATTTTAAGAAAACGTCAATTTCTAAAAATACCCATACTATAGCCCATGTTCTTTCAATCCCAAAATGGTTTAATTTTTTGACATTATCTGACTATATAGTCAACTGCTAAATCATGTTTACAAATTAGTGAAAAAGTTAAGCATGTGGTACTAAATTTCAGCTAAGTAGTCAATTTACACTTTTCAATTATTATTACATTTATTAGGCTGTATTTCCATCACGTCACAATCCACATGTACAGGATCCCTCATCAGTTCTGGTTAGTTAATACATTAATGTATGTACATATCTAATGTATCTATTATACACACACATTCAGTTGCTATTGCAGTACCTATCACTGGTCTATTAACTGGACTCATTACATCAATAATTACTAGTATCATTGTATACTGTATAATGAAGAATAAAGGGAATACAGGAAGAGAAAGATCACCAGTAGACATTGGTCCAATATATGATTTACCAACTATCAACAATGAACAACAAGAACAAGTCATTGATACTACACCTAACACTGCTTATGGACAAATTTAATAATATATTTATAACTTGGCAGACATACATAATATAACAAAAATAACAGTGTATAGTAGCATGACTTATCTTGGCACAGCAACTTTTAAATTTACTATTTTACTAGTCGCAATTAAAATAGAGTAATAAACAATGTCTCATTGCTTTAGAGTAAATAACTTTCATGATAATTTCTGTTTCATCTTTGCTGTACAAGTTAATGGTATAGAGCAACTGTACATTAAATTTAATAAAAAAAGCTGGTTCTGCCTCAAACTATACAAAGTTCACCCCAAGACTCATTATCTAAACAAGCAATTCCAGGAATTGTGTACTATTAATGCATTTCTATAGTTAGTTATTAGAAAGGAAGGTACTTGTGGTATTGGTTGAATAAGCATAGTAGAAATGGTATGTATGGAAGCCAAATTGTATTGTGCAATGATAATGGTGCATGTACATGTATACTAAACTAATTTTCAATTATAGGTATCACAATGAAGTGAGATGTCAAAAAATAGTTTGTCAAAACACCTTTTATAAAAATATATAAAGGACCACTTATCATAATGACAATTCATTTTAAATAACCAAAATAAGTCAGTGTAGCAAAAATGAACTATCAACAATAGGAATTATAGCAGGTAACAATAGTTATTGTGATAACTTTTAATAAATTAACTACTAAAGGATGAGAAATAACACATACATGTCTCAGTACTCATCATCATAGCTCATTATAATAATTAACATTAAAAAGACAACAAGGATTTAATTTCTCTCATTTACAATGTAAAATGTGTACACAATACAAGCATATTAATAATAAATTTAGTAATGGTGTAATGAATAACAAATCTCATACAGAGACTGGTAGAAAACCATGTATGGTAAAATGTCTATTAAAATGTATTATAGACTCTAGACCTCAAAGGAGGTGTAATATTGGGAACCGGGAATTGAATTGTATAGTAGAAGTGAAACACAAATGAGTGTATAAAGAACAGCACTCATATCTCAGTAATGTGATACATACATAATGATCAATACATAACAAATGTACAACAACAATGAATACATAGTAATAATAATAATAATAACAGAATATTGTAGTTACGTGTACATGTACATGAATGCATAAATGTCAAAGCAACATTATCACAGAAGGGCAATCAGTCGATTAATAAAAACTAAACCTCCCATTTCCATTTCTTATAAACAGCATCAGTCATATGGATTCGTGCATCACATAAATACAAACTGCACTTCACTGATTAATCATTCGGTCAGTCAGTTTGTGACAGAATAATGATGCGACTTTCAATGCTATTTGAAGTCTTTTGTCTTATCTTCTTATCTCATCAGCAGGTTATTGCTGAGGTTGTTATATGCAATCACAATACTCCAGTATGTAAGTGCACTACAGCCAGTGATGAAGCATGCGAGTTTACATTTGACATTGAGATGCTGCAGACCTTTACCCGATATCTGCTGGATGATGATAAAGACTCAAGGGGTACTGCAGGAAGTGTCTGGCATATTAATAATGGAGAATGGGAACCAGTTGATCCTACAGACACACTCTGTGGTAACTCTACTAATAGTGAGGAATCTAAAAGATGCACTCAACCGTTTGGTGTTGATGGGTACACGTTTCGTTCCTTTATAGCAGTCAATGGACATATACCAGGACCAACACTCATTGTAACTGAGGGTCAGTTGGTTAAAGTGAATGTAATCAATAGATTAGCATCAGAGAGTGTATCTGTACACTGGCATGGGATGCATCAAAGGAACAGTAACTGGATGGATGGAGTGGAGCATGTTACACAGTGTGGTATACCACCAGGAACTAACTTCACTTATATCTTTAAAGCTGAACAATACGGTACTCACTGGTACCACTCTCACAGTGGAGCTCAGAGAACTGATGGACTCTTTGGAGCTCTCATTGTTAAAGAGAGGGGTAACACACAGAGAGACAACCTCTTTAGTCAATTAACAGATTTTAATATAACAAGCTATAATGACAATCCA